AATTTATGAAATTATACTTTAAGGTCAGGTGGTGGTGGCACACGCCTTTAATCCAAATATTTGGGAGGCAGAGGCAGGGGATCTCTGTGAGTTCGAGGCCAGCCTGGTCTACAAGAGCTAGTTCCAGGACAGCTAGGACTGTTACACAGTGTAACCCTGTCTCAAAAAACCAAAAGAAAAAGAAAGAAAGAAAGAAAGAAGGAAGGAAGGAAGGAAGAAAGAAAGAAAGAAAGAAAGAAAGAAAGAAAGAAATTATACCTCAATTTAAAACACTTTCATATGTGTGATATATCCAGGACTTCTGTGAAAGAACACATTCTGTGAGTGAGCTTTTTAGCCCAGGCCTAAAACATTCACTAAGAGTCTCAGATCCTTACAGCATATTTACCATTCCAAAAACTAATACACATGATTTTTTAAAATAACACAGGAGTATGACATTTTTGTTTCCTTGTCTCAAGGGGTTAGAAATGAAGGAGAGCTGGAATCTCAGATCACCATATTTAGTGCCAGTGAAATAAGTGTGATAGCAACCTGATCAAGCAAAGCTTGACATGAGGAAAACACCTGCCTGGTGTTAATAAGATGCATGAGTTTCAGACAGCAGAAAACCAAAGAAAATTACTACTGTTTCTGTCTTGATAAAATATCAGCAGAGCCATCATCTGTTTTATTGTACTCAGAAGTTTATTTGAATTCTTATGATACGTGAATGGAAAAAAATCAAATTAATTTGGACTTAGGCCAGCAACTTTATTCTTAAATATTGTCAAGTCTTTATTAATACTAGCTAATGCTTTCAGATACAGTAAGAGACCAAAAAAAGCTAATAAAAATGTTTTATTTTTCTATATATTTATTAGGGGTAGAGGTGTGATCGATGAACAAATTTCTAATACCTTCAGAAGGCTTGTGTATATTTGACAATAGTTTACACATATTAAAACATCTCTTTTCTCCACAAAGGTCCCAGAGGCTGAGAAAAATGTTGCAATTTTCCATCAGCTATTATTTTTAGGTACAAAATAAAATCTTTAAAAAAATCAAAAGCACTATCAAACAACTTTAGAAAGAATTCAGCTTCACTTTCTGTGAAATATGAATATCTGTCCCCCAACAAATTGAGAGCTTCAAGTTAAAAATATATTCTTTTATTTCTTGCAAAATTTGAGCAAGATTTGTCAAGTCCAATAAGATGAGCACTGCATTCTCTAGGGACAACATACAACCAGTGTTTTCATGTCCTTGCTTGTGCGAATTTTTAATGTATAAAAGACAAAGTCTCAGCTTTGAAACCACCTTTATCTTTCCCAGCTTACCAGCCTATTATGTCCTGAGGAGGTGCCTTTTCTTTTGTAATATATGGTTACTAGTCCTAGTAATAAATATAATAGTAATAACAATAATAATAATAAAGTAAAAATGACAACTGAGAATCTTATTTGACTTTCTATTTCTAGCAGACATATATGCATATAATTCTAGAAATAAAATATTGTCTTTTTACTTAAAATTAATCAACAGTGGCTATTATTCACATATAGTCAACATTTGGTTGTCTGTGATGAACTGATGGAAAGAAAGTATGTATAACTGAAACCCAAAACACCACAAATTATAATTTGATCTTCTATCCTCACCCAACAATTGATTAGGACTGTAAACCAGTAAACTGAAGAGACTTAAGGTTTTTTTTTCTTTCCACCATTAAAAGATTTAAACTTAAATAACCTAAAGTTATTGATGAATAATACTTGATCGTGTGTGTGTGTGTGTGTGTGTGATTGGTTTGTTACTTAGCTTTGGTTAGTGTGTGCATGTATGTGAATGTGTGTGAATGTGCATGAGTGTGTGGTGTATGAGCAAGTGTGTAGCTAGGAGCCTGTGGAAGCCAGAGGAGAATGTGAGCATTCTCTTCTATCACTCTCCCCTAATTTCTTGGAGGCACAGTCTCTCTCCCTAAACCACAATCTCGCAGTTTTTCAGTTAATTTACAAGTCAGCAAGCACCAGTGATGTGGGCGCTGGGATCCTAACTTCAGTTCTTATGTGGCAACAAGATCTCCTGACCACTTAGCCAGGCCCTGTGAAGGAAAATCATTGAAGAGTGGGCACATCTTCCCCATACTGGTAACACAGGGCTTGACCAACCCCTGTGGGCCAGCCATGGAAGAGGGGCCATATCTTCCTCGGCCTGCCACCCTAAGGCCTGGCCGGTCCTGGGAAGGCCACCTCTGGGAGTGGTGGTGGATTTTCCCGGCTTGGCATCCCAGGGATAGGCCTGGCCTGTAGAGATCAGCCAGGGAAGAGGAATGCGGTTTCCCTGGCCTGACAACCATTGATCTGGCTGGTGCGAGGGAGGCCAGATGTGGAAAATTTGTAGTTTCCACTGCTCACGCCAAGGCATGGCAAGCTTCCCTGGCCTATACCCCCTGGCCCAGAGAAGACCAACCACAAAAGAGGGGGCACAGTCCCTGCCTGGCAGTCATGGATGTGTCAATATATCTTGCTCAGCCTGGCAGCCCAGTGTCTGGTCTGCCCAGGGAGGCCAGGAATAAAGAGTGGGTGGGTATTTCCTAGCCTGGCACCTAGTATCTTGTCTGGCCTGTGGAGACCAGCCATGGCAGATGGGGTTCAGCTTCCTTGGCCTGGCACCCCATGGCCTGTCTAGCACAGGGGAGGTAAGACGTGTAAGAGGGGGACACAGTTTCTCTTCCTGGAAGTCATGAAAGACAAGGCACAGCTTCACCAGTTTGCGCCACATGACACCATGTGAGGAGCTCAGCCAAGGAACTGGGGGCACATCTGCCCAAGACTGGCACCCTAGGAACTCTCTGGCAATGAAGAGGCCAGTTGTGGGACAGAGGCCGAGCTTCCACTGACCCTGGGGAGGCCAGTTGTGTGAAAGGAGGCACAGCTCCCCATCTGGCAGCTAAGGGTCTAGCCAGCTCTAGGGAGGCCAGATATGGAAGAGGTGAAGCATCCCCATTCTGACACTCGAGATTGACTGGAAAGATCTGTAGAGGTCAGTCATTGAAGAGGGTCTCACCCTCACTGGCCTGGTACCCCAAGGCTCGTCTGGTCCAAGGGAGAGCAGTCATAGAAGAGAGGGCACAGGTTCCTGATCTGGCATCCTAGGGCTTGGTAAGTACTATGGAGGCCAGTAGTGGAAGAGGGGCTCAGCTTCCCTAGCCTGGCACCCCAGCATGTCTGGCCCTGACAAGAAAAGCTGTGGAAGAGGGGATGAAATTCCCCTACCTGGCCAACATGTGAGAGGGTACGCAGCTTCTCCCAAATTGGTACATATGGGTCTGGCTGGCACTTGAGAAGCCAGACATGAAAAAGGGGGTGCAGTACCCTTTGACTGGCACCCCATGGCTGGCCTTCCCAGAAGAGTCCAAACATGACTGGTTTATATACTATGCTGAGAATTGAACCCAGAGCTTTATATATTCTGGACAAACATTAGCAACTGAGCCACATTCCCAGCCCTGACAGTTTACAGTTAATAAATATTTGTAGGTATATTGCCACTTTTAATTTTTCCTTTATTCTTGCAAAAAAGGAATCCACTGCATTAACATAAAGTCTTAGTACTATCATGTTACCAATTACTAAATGAACATCAAACTTATGATCTTAAGTAAATGCAGATCATTTTTCCTAGAAAAAAATTAGATTCTGGAATCTTAAAGCTGTTATTTTTTTTTTTTGGAGGGGAGTTGTTTGTATGCAGCTATGTATGCAGGACAGCTGGACAGCTTCAAGTACAGTTTCTCAGAAGTCATTGACCTTGGTTTTTGACACAAGGTCTCATTGTCTTGAAATTTGCCTAGTAGGCTAGCCTGGCTTAAACTGTGAATCCCAGGGATGGGATCCACCTGTCTATACCTCCCGTACATCTGTGTTCTTAACATGGGTTCTGGGGTCAAACTCAGGCATTCATACATATGTACAAGCCCCCCCCCTTTTTAATGAGTTATTTATTCACCGCCTTAATCTTTATTGAATTTGTTGAGTTACCCTGAGAAATCCTGTGGCCATTTCCATAACAGCCCCTCAGAATCAGTGCCCTCATCATTCATTTACTGTTTCTTACCTTTTAATCTTTTTCTCCATTTTCTTCACACCTTCACCACACCCGTCTTTACTGTTCCTACTGCTCTTGTACTTGGTCAGCCTGCCCATCATTCACAGTTCACCATCAGGTATAACTCTCTCAGCAAGTCCTTAAGCCATAGATGTTCTTAAGGAAAGCAGTATTTACATGGATAGAATGCTCTAAGTGGTTCGTTTGCAATTGTTTCCTTATTTTCAATGAGTTCAAGATAATACTGTATACATCTTTGTATCTCATAGCAACCTAGCAGCATATATTCGTGTGGTAACTATTTAGAAAATATTTGCTTATTTAATCTATTGATGTAACTAGAGCTGAAACAACTCATATTCATACATTTATATTTCCATCAATATATCTTGTATAATTCTGTATCCTATAGAATCAGTTATTACAATTACGTTCAGCATGGATTTTCTCAATGTTCATAGATTAATTGAGACAAGATTGCTTTCTAATTGTCATAAAATAGTCATCTGACTTCAGAGGTCAAATAAACAACAAAACCTGGTGAATTCTCTGAACAAGCATGGCATTTGGCTCAGGAGTTTAGGACAGAGAACAGGAACAGCTAAGTTTAGTAATTATTACTCTTCTCTAGATTTACATTATCACCTCCAATTCTGCTGGGTGGATATAATTCTGCAGCAGATAGGAATGCCCCTCAACAGAGCTTGGTGTAACACATGGAAAGGTAGTCTATTATTCATTATAAATACGTCAGGCATTCGTTTATACAGACTAAACAAAAAGCATTTTCAAATAAATATTGCAAATTTAAAAGACATGTTTTAGGTTCTTTTATAAATGATAAGGTAATTTGGATTTTTTGGTTTAGAAGGATTTGTTTTAAACAAATGTTTTCTTCTTTGTTTTGTAAGGTGAATTTGGGGAAGTCTGCAGTGGGCGTTTGAAGACACCAGGGAAAAGGGAGATCCCAGTTGCTATTAAAACACTGAAGGGTGGTCACGTGGATCGACAAAGAAGAGATTTTCTGAGAGAAGCGAGCATCATGGGGCAGTTTGACCACCCCAACATCATTCGCCTAGAAGGTGTTGTCACCAAAAGTAAGTTTCTGATTTTCCTCACTACTTCTCACATACTGCTTTTAGTTTTTATTAATTCATAATAGAATGCCATAATTATGACAACAACAACTTCATTCAAATGTGGTCTTCTGACATCACTTCTCAGTGTCCTACCATGAGGCCTAAACACTATCAGGGTTTGCATAGGCATTTTGAAATGACATTACCTTTAAATTATGTTCATTTAACTTAGCATAATGACTCAGAATGAAAGGATTTATATTTTTTCTAAATATCAATATTAATAGAAGACTAAAATCAATATTTGATTCATTAAAATAAAATACTACTGCTTAAAATTGCATTTCATAGACAAATGTAAAATGCTTTACCATAGAGTAAAATATTTCCACAAAAAATTCTATTTGGAAGTCAGCTCTATTAATAGCATTATTAATAAATTACTATAGTTGATATAAAGTAAAATAAAAGATAACCACTGCAATAACAATCCTCCTGTTATAGAAATAATCGAATCAAGGTCATTCTTTTTAAAGAAAATTGCTTTAAAACTCAAAATTATATCTATACTTTAAGAAATTGGATGCGTATATTTGAACAATGATAAAGGCACAAAATGTAACAATATTTCTCCATTTTTATTCACTGATGAATTAAACATAAAGTCCAGCACAGCTGGCATTAAGTATGTCATGAAAATCATTTTGATGTTTGAAAGTATATTTTTATTTACAGAATTAAAATTTCTTTAACAGCCATTGAAGATAGGAGTAGGGTCTGGAGAGATGGCCAAGTGGTTAAAAGCAGCTCCTGTTTTTGCAGAGGACCTGGGTTTTCAGAGCCTACTGCCAAGTTACAACCATACATAATTCTAGTTCCAGTGGACTGAATGATCTCTTCAGTCCACCACAGTCTCTTGTAGATACGTGGTGCATATAAACTCATGCAAACACAGACGAATAATAAATAAAGATATATGAATAAATAGATATTTTTCAAACCATTTAAGGGAAGTTGAATTTTATGTTATAGTTAGAAATGACATAGCTTATTAGCAGCATTGCTCAACTCTACTTGTTAGATCTCCATTTACTTCACACAAGGCATTGGTAAAATGTGCTCAAGGAAGCAGATTACTTGCAGCCCCAAGAGTTTACAAAGCAGAGAAAGGTGACTGGAATGATAAGCATTTTAGTGGGGGTTTTGTTGTAGTTATTTTAACAGTCTTTCAATATTTACCCATGAGTAGTTATCATAGACAAGTACTCTGAACTCATCCATGTGCCCAACCTTAGCCAGTTGGACTAGCAAGTGTAAGACACGTGGTGTTTTATATATGTTGGTGTTTGTAATCTAGAATTCTTTCTCCTGAAACTCAACCTCCATGTCTAGTAAAACAATCAATCAAGTTGCAGTATCGCAAGGCGATAGGTTGGAGGGCTTGTATATAGACTGAGTTATTTTTCAGGGTGCCAGGAAAAAACTGACACAACTGACCTCTGACCTCAACACCATGCTGTGACATGCATATAGCCACATTCACATCTCCCTTACACATACACACACACATACACACATGGGGGGGGGAGAGAATGAATAAGAAAAATAAATATATTTTTTAAAGCAGAAAATGAAGATATTTTAGCCTACAGTCCCATTCAAAGTGCTCTGAATGCCAGGCTTCTGAGTGAACCATCTCAGACATTACAATCCTACCCAAGTCCCAAACTACTCAGATACCTGCAGCTGGCCATTTGTGAGGCAAAAAACCCAAATCAGCTCAATCTGGTCAACCCAATAAAGATAAGAGAGGGGTTTTTATTTAATAATTTGTATTTTATTGATTCTTTAAGAATTCTATACAATATATTTTAATTATATTTATCTTCCTACCCCTTCCTCTAACTAGTCCAAGATCTACTCCAAGTTAGTGTTCTTTCATTATTTTTAATATTCCATTGGGTCAAATTTGTGCCGCCCACATACTTCTCTAGCTGTGGGACCATCCACTGGTACTGTAATGTATCAGGTGCCTCATCCATAAAAATCAGTCACTTTTCCCTCCCAAATCTCTAATTGTTCATAGCTCCTCCAGTAGGGGTCGAGGCTTGTGAGATTTTTTTCCCCTGCTATACTAGAAAGTCGACTGGCTTAATCTTGTTCAAGTCTTGGGTGAACAAACATGCGTCCTATGCATTCCTAAATTGAGCTCTCCTCTTAGATACAGAAAGCACTGTTTCACTCTGGTCTTACCGTCTTTCCACTCCCCCGTCTGTCATGATCTCTGAGCCTTGTGGGATGGAGGAGTGAGATCTAGATGACCCCCTCCATTGACACTTCTCTCACTTTGAACCACCATCCAATAGATAAAGATGCCTCTCTGACGAAGGTCACGAGCTATACTGATCTATGAATAGAGACATACATATGTTCATATGCAGGAGTGGTGCAAATGTTAAGATGGTAACCAAATGCTTTCTAGTGGGACTTCTTAAGTTTTGCTCCACAGAAGGAAACACATGCTTGAAGTAATAAATCTGGCCAAGAACCTATAGTTTGAGTTCTTAGTTCTTCACCCCTAGAGACCCTAGGGATAACATGGTACAATTATTTTGTTAAATGCACATAGTATCCAACTGCCTGAAAATTTCATGTAAAACTATTTTTAAGTCATGAAATTTAAAATTCATTTTTTTTGCAATAAATGACCAAGCTAATTAATCACTGGAATTCGGCTCTTGCTAGTTAAGATTTGTATACATTGGATAAATTATTTAAAATCTCTATCCTGAACTTTCATGTCTATAAGACACTATGAAATTAACCAAGATATCATTGATTGGAGCATCTCAGTCCCCCTTTTTTAAGACTGCAAAGGATTTCTATACAAGTTAAATCATTTATGTATACTGAATTTAGCATCATCTGTTGACTTCTGTCATTAGCCTCACTATTTCAAATGATTCCTTTGTTTTCATATTTTTATTTATATGGCAAGCAAAATTTAATTTTTAAAATGAGTGACAAGCTAAGTTTGATGCCAAAGTACTCTTGGAAAGGTTTACACATAGAATATCTAGAAATAAGTGATCAGAAAAAAACTCAAAGGTTAGAAAGTAAGAGATCTTTATTTTCCACCAGCAAATACATTAAATCATATGTCTTTTCATTCAGTAGTATGATTTTGTGTATTATCATATTATCTGTGTATTTAAATTAGGGTCTATAAAAAGGAAAGAGCTATGACACTACAAAATAAAGAAATTAATTTTATATCCTAAGTCAAATAAATAGGTTTACTAAGATTATTGTTGACATTTTTGCCATCAGATTAAATGTTTATTTCTCATAAGCACCCAAATAACCAACAGAAAGATTAGATCTATAAACTAGATAGGTGACTTCTATTTAGACAAATTTGTGTGATTCACATACCAGTATTACTGTCTTATTCTTATGAAAAAATAAAAAAAAATCTCATATCTGTTACAAGAAACTGATGAGAAAAGATAGCTTTAGTACACTCTTGATGGCAATCAGCACTGTAGTTTTAACTACCAAGAGTAAGCCCCATAAGGGAGTATTGAGGTGCTGCAAAGAACATAGTAGGCATAAGAGAAAAGCAATTCCCGAAAAAATCAGTGAGCCTGTTTATACTGTTATCAGCTGGAGTCAAGTGCTATGGGAATGTTAGAAGAAAAGCAATAAATAAATGAATACCTCATTCCCATAAATACATGGTAATTGTTCTAAGATTGCCCTTAAGTACCTAAGAGATAGCTAGCAATTAATATTCCCTAAAGACGCCCCCACTGCATAAAAGATGATACTGATGAAGATAATGATGCAGTACAAGGGTCTGATTATAGACTTTCCTGGGGTCTGGGAAACAAATACATTGACTCTCCATTAACAGTGATATAATATTATAGATAAAAACCTTGAGAACATCCTTGCACCTGTTCTTACTTAAAATGAGTATATTTTTGTCTTAGAGCCTTTTCTCTTGGAAACATGCATTGTACAGTTCTTTGAATCACTTCTACTCTTTTATTTGTGCACATATATCTGATTTTATTTTAAACTTGAAGCTAAATGTTTAAAACTGCATTAAGCAAAATAGTATATCTGATAAAAGTTGAGCTTATTTATATGAAACACATAACATCTTTATTAGCCTGATAAGATACAAATAATGGAAAGAGAGATAATAAGTTATAGCCATATGCTCAACACATACTATATCTCTGGGAAGCAAAGAGAAGCCATCAGTTGGAGGACAGACTTGTAATCATTAGTAGCATAGGTAGTCATAATATGTAATACCATAGGTATCAGCAACATTTGCTACATCACCAGGAGACAAAAGGCCACCTTTCTATAAGAAGATAAAAATTGCAACCTAGTGATGAAGAAATATAGCGCAGTTACCATGAGACAAACAACATTGTCTATCTTCCAGCTAAGTAAAAACACATTTATAAACACTAACTATATTTACTAAATAAAAAAAAAACTCAGTAAAGTGAAATAGAAGTCATTTCCAGTAGCAAACAAATTCCCAAAGATAATTCCTTCCTAAGATATTCTTTAAAGACTCCATGGCACAATACTGAAGTTATAAGAGAATCTTTTAGAGTTTCCCAAACCCTTTGTATGTTCAGGAATATTGTAAATTACTCCCAGGGAGTTTTGTAAGTAGATATACAACTCAACAAAAAGAGTATATTCTGTTCAGTCAAAAAATCATGGTACATGCATAGAAACATGCTCCCTAGTTCTAGGATAGGATTATCCTTCTTGAATAAAGATAATCCTCTAAACTTCCACAGTTTGAATAACTGCATTTCCAGCTATTTACTTATGAATTAATCACCAATGCTCTCTAAGCCTTATATTTTGTTTTTTTCTGAATGAAAGAAAAGTGAAAGTCAGAGTAGAAAACACAGAGGTCAAATATAAACCTAATAAATTCTGATTATTTTAACAAACAGTAGCATGAGATGTTCAAAAGGAAA